TTAAGTATTCTAAAACAGTTCTTCCCAACCGCTGGTCCGCGGACCGTCAACGGTCCGCAAAGGATTTTTACCGGATCGCGGGAAATCCCGTCATATTGTTGTTTCTCTGCCGTCTCAATCGCTTTACCGATGCCGAAAAGACGAAGTTGCGTTGGTTCATTACGCAATTTCTCTTCCGTCGTCATATTGCTGTTTGATAAGCGCGACATTAATTATCACGGTGACGTATTGGCAAGAGAGAGAAAAGTGAGAAAAACGGCTGCAAATACCGAAGCTTTAACTTCTTTTTAAACTTTCACTTTTTACAATCGACGGAATTGACTGCTTCGAAGAGAGCTCGTTTCAATCGCGAAAGCGCTCGACCAATAATTACGACTTTACGTAATTCGTAACTTCCCTTCCGTAACTCGAAATAATTCCGTAATTCCGTAAATCTGTAAATTACGTGCAAGCCTAGTGTGTACCAATATAGAGGTAACTAATTTTGTTCGGCTTCTTTACATCAAGTTGTGTAAAGGGACTGAAACCTATGGGCATGGGGTATATTCACTTGGCTAACACAGACATTACTCGAACTTGTAATAGAACTAATATAAGATAAATCGGAATAAAATTATGCCCTAACCCAAACCTGGTACATATACTACGGGAGTACCAAAATAGCAGATCAGAAAGTTAGTAGCGGGTTGATAACACAGGAATTTATCCTTGAGTGGAAAAGTTGATGTACTTATGGAAAAGTAGAGGAAATGGGATTCATTTCATCAAGACAGAATGATTGTTGGAATAATATCACACTAAACGACATAAATGGTGCACTGTCCATTGATACCAGAGTTAGAATGAGTTCAAAATGGGCTGAAGTAGACCATACCCAGTGGGCTGAAGTAGACTATACCCCAAAATCAATTTCCTGAATCGCACCCACACAATGTACTTTGGTTTCAAGTTTCGACTGATATAAGAGTGGTACTTTCCAAGGCATATTGTAACATGTGAATGTAAGGACATTGGCTGTTTCAGATTACTTTATCTTCTATCTTATCTTCCACTGAGGCAAACTCATGACATTTTGAGTAAAAATTGTGCATTTTGTCACAAATATAGCACTGTTTTACCACATCGAACCCATCAAAAATTCTTTTATATCGTTATTCCTATATTCTATTACACACTCCAAAAAAATGACATTAAAAGGTAACAGGAACACTGAGTTATATTTTCACACGGGAAATAAAACTTGTGGGCGGGATTAGATAAGAGAGATAAATTCTATCATAGATCTAATGTGAATGTGTATTGTTAAAAACAAACAGAAAATAAAAGCTATTTTACGGTATTTAGACATTGTTTTCGCACCAAAATACTCATTATATTCAATTATTTTATTATATTAAAAAGTACCACCCACATTTGGGACATACCAGACGCAAAATAAAAATTAGAATTAAAATTTGTAACCTCAAAATTGCTTGAAATTTTACTTTTTTTTTAATTAAACGTAAGAATTACAAAGATGTACATAAAAGGCGAATGAAAGTCTGAACAAAATGTGTTTACATGTTTTGAAAGATGTAAAAGATGATAGACATAAACAAAATAAGAATTTTTTTCCGCCAAATCGTTTTAATTTTCTGTATAAACTGGGTTGTTACAATATTTTTTGCAAAATATTTGTCGGAAACTTCATTTTTCTCAATTAGGCTTTCATTAAGAGTTTATTATAGTAAATGCACACATGCAATGAACGAATCAAGTTTAAACTGTGTTACGTCACAAACCACACGGGATTCGCGCACTTGTCGCGTGATCAGCACACGTTGGTGACGTCACAAACGACGAGACAGTTCCGGGAGAAACGGAAGCGCGCCAAAACTTGTCGCGCCTTCGGTTTTTGAATTGTATACATGTAACGGCGTCGTTTACAAAGTGTTACATGTATTATAATGTAACAATTTACAAGTTTTTGTTTTATGACGTTAGAATAGGAATAAAACACCATTGTATTATGACGTTAAACAATGCTACCGCTATATAAAAGAATTTTGGCGCCTACGATGTTTCGGAAATAAGTTTCTCTTTAGATTTACCCATTGAGGAGTGTTAAATTTCAAAACAGCGCCACCGTTCTAGCGCCACAGCGTACAATATATGGATTGTGTAAATTTGGAATTTGGTGATTTACAATAAAAACGCTAAACAGTTTAAAAGGGGGGCGGGCAAAGAGTTTGAAAACTACAAATGATGATTGTCATGCCAGTGTGTATCATACTATGAATCACCCCTACAGAACACGGGGTAAAAGTGATTGTGAGGTGACAAATATTTCTCGAAAGTGGTTGTTTTGTAATAATACCAAATCACAATTAATATGTAACTAGTGTAATCCAGTATTCGAACTTTCTTCAAAAAAATCAAAAGACTGTCAAAAAAGCGATATTTCATCCTTTGATAAATATGAAGAAATGTAAATATATGCTTCGACAAATTATTGAGTGATTGTTAGCAAACAATTGTGATTGTGACCGAACAATATAAACTGTTCTTTGTTGGCTTTATTATGTACACTATTAAATATAGGACAAATTCAATGTAATTTATCTGTATTTGGGATATTTTATTAGCTTTTTGTAAGGCTATGAAATTATTTTTGCCAATGTTATGACTCGAATTAATATCGTAATTATAGGCCTACAATTTGTGGGAGGACGAAATAGATTAACAGCCAAATAACAGTTAATTGGACACATGTATTTCACATTGTAACGTGGGAAAATCCAACATAGGCTCTTCAACTAATCAAGTGCCCGACAGTCGGCACTGTGGCATTAACCCGTTACGAAGTATGTTTAACATGGTATTACATATTTATCTGGGATAGTTTAGGTAGTGACTACAAACGTTTAAATTTGTAATGGTGTTTTAATATAAGTATTTATACAAAGTACTGATTCTAGTGATATTATTTTCAAACTACGCATGTGTTGCATAATAGTCTATGTCAGCCGCCTCACCCAAGTCCTAATAATTATTAATCTTAAATAATAATAAGATAGACTACCCCGAATCGGTATATATTACAGTGGATACAATATTAAACTACGAGGATTTTGTGGGATGCCTAATTCGGAGCGACTACGAGTTGAGGTACATATTTGCTTGGATCTTTCGTACAAAGCCCTCAAACCCTTACCATGTGGCGAAAAAAACTCCCTCGTCGAGCGCAATCTGCCTTTCGGCAAATCTGCCAATTTGCCTTTCCCCAGCTTTCTTTAGGCTAAATTTTTGCCCCGTCTATCTTAAACCTCAAATTATAAAATAAACAAAGAAATGTGGGACAATAACCTAACTTATTATAAACTAACTTGAAATAAACATAAAATCGAGCTAATTATGGCTAGTGAAAATTGCGTATATACGACACACTTTCGTTAAAAAGACGCAAAGAGTTAATCTACAATCTAATTTAATCACACAGGCACTTAAATCAAATACACCGTGCTTGTTGGCACCTTGTACAGCTTCTCAACAAGTGTTTAAATAAGATAAAGTTGGCATTAAATAAGTACAAACATGGCTTTGATTTAAACTTTGGTTTGGTGTCTGAAAGTGTTTGTAAAACGTCCCACTGAAGCGTTTTACCTTGTGGGCTACCCAAACCTGTTTGTAGGAAAATATTTGACAAGAATATTTGGATCTTTTGTACCACGCACATGCCAAAAATACACCACCACCAGCGCCCAATATATAATATAAAAATAGGGTACTCCTGAAGTATGTGCACCAAGATGTCTCACAACCTGAATCCTAACCAGGTACACAACCTGAGTTAAGATTGTGCGCCGTCTTGGTGCGCATACATCAGGAGGTCCTAGTTATTATTCAGTTAGGTTAGGGTGAAGGCTAGAAATGCAAATTGCGCTAGAAATATAAATTTTCAATCATTGCTCAATCACCCCAACCATAACTGGATAATTGCTAACTTCTTATTTTAAAACATGGCGGGAGGGGGGTGTTTTTTCAAATCTCCCATTTTTGCATTAGTGGCGGCAGCTTTGCACAAAAGATTCTAAAATTTTTACTCTGACAGAAAATAGAATTCAAAATATGGTTGCAAATTTGAAGTTTTATCTGTTACATTACAATATTGGTCTATTGTATAAAGAAGTCAACTGTACATTACTAAACATGGACTTCGGACTCTTTCTTCATACAAATCACATAGGAAATCCGCTATTACTATATCAGAATATTTAAAGTTAATTATCGCTCAAATATGGATTAGGATACCATCAACAGCGAACACAAAATACTACATTTAAAGTTGTTTAATTTTTTCGAATTCGTTCAAGATTTCTGTAAATTTAACTCAAGTTCATTACTCTTATTAAGGTACTCCTGTAGTGTGTGTACTGGGTTAGGGTTAGAGCATAATTCTTTTCCGATTTTCCTTATTTTAGTTCTATTACAAGTTCGGAGACCGTCTGTGTCAACCAAGTGAATATACTCCCTGCCCATAAGTTTCAGTCCCAAGTTAATGTAAAGTAGGCGAACAAAATAAGTTAGCTCCATATTGGTACACACACTTCTGGAGCGCCGAACCATCATTTCGCATTAAAAATACCCTTTTTAAAACGTATTCAAACTATTTATCTAAATCAAGTGCAATGCGGCCGGCCATGCTTTTAGTGTGGCCCTAGTAAACACTCGGATTTTCCCTATCAAGCATAAAATCCAAATCCCACAGATTTTGTTTAAAAAGGCGCATAATTGTTTTGGTTAACCCTGATCTAAATGTTTACATCTATCCTAACCCAGAACCTACAAAGAATCCTACTGCATATTCTCAATCTAACCGATCCTATTCCAAAACAAAATCTTTCCTTAGACCCCGGCTACAGCTATTATCCTAGATTCTTGCACAATAGTGAATCAAAAGAATCAACAAAACTTGATACGATAATTTTTAAAAAGACAAGATAAAGCATTTTTCCACTTACTTGCATTCATTAGGAGAAGAGCATTTCCCGTGTTCAGCACTGCATCCCGTCTTGCACTCCGCTAAAAATTGAAAAAATTGTGAAGAATTAAATATCTTCCAAATCAAGGTTTGAATAAGCATCATCTTATAGAATATTAGTATTAATTGTTTCCCGCAAACCCAATTTAGGTAAATAAACGTGAGCATGTGAAGTGAAAGCACATTTTCTCAAAAATGAATGCTTCGGAAATTCAGTTTTTCATAAAAAATATGGTACTCCAGTAGTATGTGAACCAAGATTGCGGACACCGGAACATAGTATGTGTACCAGGTTAAGGTTAGGCCATAATTTCAGGCATAAATACTACGGGAGTCACTTGGCTAGTCCCTGAATTCAAAATAGAACTTAAATAAGGCAAATTTGAATGAAATTATAGCCAAAAGTACCAAATATATATAATGTTGTCGATTAAATTTTTCGGCAATTTTGAAACGAATCACGTGTAAAAATTCCAGAACATCACGATATTCGATAGAGAAATAAATAAATCGAGTCTACAAAAGTTGGAAGACGATAGAATCGGACAGCGTTTATGCCGTCACAAACACACATTCATTCTTGAGTCATAATAAGGTCCGTCTTATGTTTACGAAGTCAAATTTTTCTACCCAGATACGACCATAAGTTGGTTTCGATGATCCGTGCGGTGGAGAGTAAATTGTTAGAGAAATCCTTTGCTAACCGCAAGAAATTCAAACGAATTTCAACATTTTATGTAGGACAAATTCGATTTTATTAAACATGTTCGTATTTAACGATTTTTTAGTCGAAATTATCGTGCATGAAAAACATTTTGTTTGCCATTTTTGCAAACTATTTTTACATTTAAGAGGACAATGCCAACCTACGATACAGTTTCTGGTTTACACACTAACAAATATACAGTATTGTAACCCTCCCTAGTGGATGTATGCAATTCTACATTCCAGTTCAACCTTCCATAGGATTAACTCGATTACCCAATTTGAATAGTGTCGTCACAATATTAACAAAAATCCTCTATTTCGTAATAAATACCGAATATACATATTTATATTATCACGGGGATACGCAGACATCAGTACGTTGTTGGAGGCAATACACGCGCGAACCTTAAGACGTGGCAGACACGTGGGTGGCGGCAAGCAGGACACAGCGCGGCAAATGTTGCGAACCAGACCTCGTTGGGGCGCGCGCTGTAACAAATTCGGGTGCTACGTTAGCGTGGGGTCTTCTGCGTGAGGAATAATACAGCAGTAGACCTCACTCTAAGGTGGAACCCAAATTTGATAAAATAAATAGCAATAATATATATTCATTTAGTAATGAAAAATGGTGATATAGAGGTATATAGAATTTTGTTTAAAAGTTTGATTTCGTGATGTTGCCATACTTTGCATTATAGGTTGTGCAAGACGTCATAATTATGTCGGACAACCGTTCACCCCCTTTTTAACGGTATGTCTACAGTCCTATTGAAGCGAGATAAAGGTATCGAAATTTTGCAAAATGGCGCATAAATTGAGACTTATTAGGAAAAATGAAATTGTTTTATAAAGAACAAGCTGTATCATGCTGCATAGAAGTTCCAAATTTTCATATTCGATTGTATATGTGTTACGTCACTAGAGATTCTGAAACTGTCGAATTTTGTTTCATAGAACTCTTTGAATATGTTTGTGTCTCTTTGTTTGAACGGCGATATCAATAGATTGTTAACGATAATGGCAAAGACAAGAATGTGCAAGCTATACCAAAAATCAATAAAACCGCTATTTTGTAGGATTTTCAACTATAATTTGATCATAACGCGCATAAGTCTTTTGTGGAAAAAATAGTTGTTATGACGATAACTTTTTTAAATCCCAGATACCCACTGTGAAGTCACAATGCCACCCAAAGCGAGTCGGAACATTTGCATAAAAACTTTCAGCAGGAATTTTGACAACGGCCACTTATATGCCAAAGATAATATATGAAATACATGTATATCCCATGCTTGGGTATAACATGCCAATTTGAATTGAAAAATGCCGGTTCGCCGGGTTAAAAGCTTTAGAATGCGATAACATGGTCTTATCGCCGTGAAACATATGGTGTTTGTGAATATTGTCTCATACCGTGAGTGGGTGAACTAGGTCGATTTCATTCGGTTTAATGAATGTAGTAAACAAATAAATTTTGATGAAAAATATGAGTGCTGTGGTCAAATATATGGACACGAAGGTGGAATCGGTACGGTCCCTGTTTGATGAAAAGATTTCTCCGATGACGTCAGAAAATATGAGGTCATCAACCCTCATCCTCCCCAATTAAATTTGCATGCTCCACTAAGTCCGATTAAAATAAATAAATCGGAAAAAGTTTCCTTTTTTATTTCAACTTTTCTGACCAGACTGACCATTCTAAATAAGAGAAGTGGTCAATTATCTTACGAATGGTCAACAGTTCCCTAGAGAGCAATTGATACCATTATATTTATTTCATAAAGTGTCACTTATGGCGTCAAATTTCTGGAAAAGGGCGCGGTGATCTTTTGAAGCAATTTATAAGTTCTAAATTGACACCAAAAGTATCGCTGGTCAGTTTGGCAAATCCCTTGAGAGAGAGCAGTTGTCCATTGAATGAATTGATACACTGGACAATACGTAACATATTTTATGTGTCCCCCGTGCTTGGGCTAAGGATATATTTCTCATGTGAAGTAAAGTGAAAAATGAGAACCTTTTAGCAAAATAGCTAATATGAAATGAAATAAAACAATTACCAATTTTTGCTTGCATTGATTAGCTATGTATCAGAGAGCCCTCTCAAGGTTTAGAAATGTGAAGTCAATACGACCCAAACGAGCGCGCATTCACAAATACTGCCAATGAATAACAGTGCAATGCAAGTAATACCGCTTGTTTTTAATATTCTGAGACGCATTACTATCTTTATGCCGTGATAAAAGATATGAAACTGTATATCATTGATGATAAACCTTTATTAAGACAGATTTAAACAAATTTGGAAAGTCTATAGGCGCAATATGTCTCAACTTTAAAGCGTTTTGGAGTAGCATTTTAAACGGTGTTGTATACGCATTTCAATGCATTTTTCTGCATGTCATACATGGCCATTGTTTCGTATCTTGAAACGTTTTTAGATCCCCAATACGCTTCAAAACCCTTAAGTTGATACAGTCTAACTTGGTAATTTACGATTTCAGAAGGTTAGGGGACGCAATCCGGCCTGTCCGAAAAGGTTAACATTCCAAACACGAAATGGACATCCCATAAGGCAAAGGACCCCGGCGCTCATTACATCCGATTAGAAATGTATTTGGCAATGTGACAACCAATACCAATTGAATTGGTCAATTTCGTGTAGCAAAGGTCGCATTTCAAAGACCACGTGTTTAATTTGAAGTTCTCGTTATGTTAAATTGGTGTGAGCTTGGAAAGCAAGCTACATTTATGATAATTGATTTAGTCTAATTGAAAAGGTGTTGAGTATGAGTTACGGTATATCCTCGCATATAAGTTGCCAAACTAAGAGGTCGGCCTATACGAGCATAACCATAATCGCATTACACTTGAGGGTTTGACTTTGATAGTAAGGATCAATTTGAAGGATTTTGAGACACTTCTCAAGACGTTATTAATAAAAGTGAAACATAATAATTCCAGAAATAAAGAACGATATCTCATCTCTCACCCCCTGACATAGTGAGAGCATTAGATTCCGCAGATCATAGTTCTGTTAAAGTACCCATATTGCTGCAATATACTATATTTGCACTACATAGGAGACATATCCTTTCTCCATAGATAAATTTCTCGTCCAATTAAGGCGCCATTGTACAGTATCAACCACAAAACGCAATTTACACATTTTTCGTCTGTCACTGTCTGAGTACGCCTGGCTAATATCTATATTAGGAAAGTAAAAAGCCACACAAGCATTGTCTATATATTTTAACACCTCGCCAAAGATAACCCAACATAATGGGACACAAACTCATTGACAGACAATAGACTAAACTTATAAAATTTAAATGAAGCAGCAGCTGGCACACATTTTAAATCTGCCAATCACGGGAAAGCACTTTTTAAGGCGTGTATGACCTTGAAAATGGCGTGCAAGGTTATTTGTAGGTCTACGTTGAAAGCGGAATTTCAAAGTTGGGAAAAGCGATTTACGATAAGGAAATTCTAAAAGGTCCAAACGACAGACAGAAAAAGCCTATTATCGCGTTTTAACCTATATTTGACGCGATCAAAATGTGCGTAAAGGCGGACGCTTGCGAATCGGTACCTTGCAAATGACCATTTTATCAAATTCCCGCCTTTGACATCTGTCAGCGAACGACTCATCCACATACATTGTGACGTCACTGTGGTTAAGACGACGTCACAAGGGAATACTATTTCGGAAACTTGCGCGGTTGCGGCGCGCGAATACCGGTCCAGCTTGCTACGTGAGGGCATAAGAATACTTTTTCAAGTCTCCACATCTTTGGGCGGCGATAATAAATAGGTAATCATTGATGGTGATCACTCGGACGGTGGTTGCAATCGCTATATGTTACATACAATGTTGCAATTGTATAGCAAGAGTTAGGTCTACTTCATCGAATGTCGCGCATTTATGGTAATGACTAAAATTCAAAAATGGCGTAACTTGCCAAGAGAGCCATGCCCCAGAAAAAAAATTTAATAGCTATGTTTCTCGGGCCAAGCGGCTTTTACTGGCGCATATTGCGTATAGTTTCAGTGGGGTTTCGCTTGTAACATTGCTCATAGATTGGTCTCCTCTACTTCTTAGTGAGTGTCCATAACTTTGCTCAGAGGTGAGTCTCCTTTACTTCTGAGTGAGTGTCCGTAACTTTGCTCAGAGGTGAGTCTCCTTTACTTTTGAGTGAGTGTCCGTACCTTGCTTTCAGAGATGAGTCGTGGTAATAAAAGTTTTAGAACCCCTGCACTAACTCATATTCAGAAATGAAAGCGCGGTGACTAGAAACACGCCACTCTGAATTAACCATACACGGCTAAATTTCAACTTAAATTTCTCAATATTCACTGCACAAGCAGCGAACTTTAAAAAAAACGTAATTAGATACTCAAAAAATTAGATTTAATTCCCAATTCCGTCAAGTTAAAGGAACAAAAAATAAAAGAAAAACAGCAACATTCGAATCTACTCACCGATATTGCATTCTTTTCCCATCCAACCATCTAAACATTTTTTATTTCCCGCGTGATCGCAAGTAAAATGACCGAAAAATCCGTTCCTGGGCCGACAGAATTTGGTGCAATTAAATCCATAGTAATGCTCCTCACACCGGACGCGTATTTTATATTCAATATGGGCTATAGGTCCGTTGTGCTGTTTAGTGTGCCACTGGTCCCCCGGATTCAGCATTCCTGAGTGGACGACTCTTTCAATAAGTTGACTTTTCGGATCTCGGTCGTAGGCTGTGTGACGTATTAAAACAGAATGTGATATCATAATGGTGATTGAAATAAATAATTTTTAAAAAAATTGAAATTTTGGGACAAATTCGTTCACCAGTTCAACCAATTAGAAGTCCGAAGCGGGTGTCAAAGGTTATAACACCGGGAAGTCTCTATTTGTTAGTAATGATGACTACATGTCATTTGTGGATAAGGTAAAAAAAAAGCAGGAAATAGGGCGAAAAAAGTTGGAAATACAGATTAAAATAAACTGCAAAATTCATCAGGAAAAAATGAGGCGGTGATTGATCTGGGATTCGAACCCAGGACCTCTAGTTCAATAAATATGAATAAAATACAAAATTTATTGATACCTGTTCGATTGTCATTATCCAAAGCTTCCAAGATCATTGTGTACGTCCGCTGAAAAATGATAATAGAAATGTCATAAAAAAGCATGTGTAGAGACATGGGCGCCTGTCTGCGAAATTAGTTCATAAAATAAATAAATATTAGAGATTATAATATTATAGAGTAAAATAAAAAATAAAATCATTCACAAAAACTATAAATTGTTGTACGGGTACTTGTTTGTAAATCTTGATCCATAATGCATAAGGTCCAATAATATGTTCAAGTGTTAGTAACTATCCATATACAACCATGATTTAGCGTGAGATTTAGAGTAAAGTCTAAACCAGGGGTGTGCAAACTGCGGCCCGCGGGCCGAATGCGGCCCGCAAAGTAATATTGAGCGGCCCGCGGAGAAGCGCCAATTTTGAATGGTACCAGTAGGTACCCGAGTACCACAGTCATATTAGCAAAACTAACTAGTAATCACATTTTTGTACCTGAAACTACTATAAATTATATCTTAAATAAAAGTTCGGCCCGCGGTTTCACCCAATTACTTGAATCTGGCCCTCCTGTGATAAAGATTGCCTGGTCTAAACGGAATAAAACTTTTGGAATCAAATATAGTCGAGTTTTTTCGAATTTGGTATCAGTTTAAATTTCCAGACTATGAATATGTAACGTTCTAAAAATACTCGCCACGTAATTAATTCATAAACAATTTCATAATTATATAGTGAACGTCTCTTTCAATAGAAACGATACTTAAGTATTATATACGTATAAGCTTTTCATAATTAGTACAATCGAAGAATGGAATTTTTATAACCTTATATCATCTTGAAATTTGGAAAGTCTAACTGATCGAGGACTTCTATCAAGATTATTAGTTAAATGATATTTGAATTGAGTTTTTTTTTTTTTATATCAGTAACTGACACGACTTCGTCAAGAGCATTGGATAAATGACATTTGAATTGAGATTTTTTTTCCATATCAGTAACTGACACGACTTCGTCAAGAGCATTGGGTAAATGACATTTGAATTGAGATTTTCTTAAGTTTGTGAAACCATAGAGCCGGGTCTTAAACTAAATAAGTAGTAAGCTACCACTAACACACTAAGAGCTGTATAAGATTAAATTTTACAGAGATGTCGAAAGATGCCGCCATAATGGATGAAGTTTGAGCGCTGTTTCTATACATTTTTCAACGTTAGATCGGAAGTACAAAGGTGAAACAGACGCTACGATCTTCGACCTCGCCTTCGATTAGGTTCACGCTAAAAGTCAAGTACAACAGGAAAAAACAGCGTAAGCATACATGGCCTTGGTAATTATACAACTACACAACATGTAATTTTAGAAATAGCAATATTAAAGCCTTTAATTAAAGTCTCGTTTAGCGGAAGACGATAAAAACCAAATTATTAATGTCTGATAAAACGATAAAACGCTTTTTTGTTTTAATTTTTGTTAAAAAAAGTAATTTTTTTAGCAAAACTACATTTTTTGTAAATGCCAATTATTTAGGATTTCAAAAATTCCAATTATATAAATCGTGGGATAATTATATGATACCTATTGTTTTCTCACAATGCGAACATGAACGTGACAATGCAATAAACTGAAACAATCAATTCTCCTATTGTCCTACATTTAAAATTATACATCAAGACACTTAACAAACACAAATTCAAAGTTTTTGCGCCAATTTTACAGGTGGACTCACATCTGGAATATCAAAGGTTATAAATCATCAAACGGCGATTTGAAAAGTCGATGAAAACCTTATTTCGTCACAATACTTCTCAAAAGTATAAGAAAAAAATTCCGCACTATAGACCTTTCCAAAATATTTAGCGCCAAACCGTATGCATTACTAAGCAGCATCTATTTTGCTCAAGTAAAGCCACGCAACAATTTCAAAACTCGCTGTTTCTCACTTTGAAGTAATTTCTGGTAAAATAAATGCTATTTAAATATGATTATTTTGTTTTAGAAATTCCTTTTTTTGGTCGTAGAAGCATTACAATATTTGAACAATTTCTTGGGTCGCAAGGATTTACAAAATCATTTTTTTAAAATCTGGTTTGCTTAAAAATAGGGTGGGACCCACTGCCGTACAGCATATACGACTTCACTAACATAAAGGACCAGTAATTAGGAACGCGTTGCTCAACCATATAATATAAAATGCTAGTTAAACTTTAAACTTTTTTTTACAGTTTTGGCAATGAATGATAGATGGATTTATTAGCATATGACTCTATTCACGCGTGTTGTATTGTCTGTCTGTGTAACTGTCCATGGTCGATATCATATGTATGGATATTATTCTTTATACATTTCCGCTAACTATGTGGTCGATGGATCTGTTCTTTCATTGGTTGGTGGTTAATCATAGAAATATAGGGTGTCCATGAAGTCTTGAAAATCTATCTGAAGCTTACTCCTATGCGGCCCCTTTCTACGTCTTTTTCCAGAACGAGGTCCCGTACAGTAATATAAGTATACTGAGTTTATTTCTGAGCGTTTTTTCCTTTTTAGGTAGGAAAAGGGCGGATGAGGAATTGGGCTTGATTTAGTTGCCCAAAACAACGGTGATCATTATATACATATCAAATACACGAATGAGGGAAATAAAAGACTATTTATTCCAATTTAGCTTAGCAATTTAGTTTTAGCAATTAATATTTTACCAAATTCAAAAAAAATCTAAAACTTCAAATTATTCATATATGAACGAAATTCTAAAACCATAAACGTGCCGTTGCAAAAGCACGATTCCTCGCAATGTAAATTCAGTTATTTGTCCTTGTTTTTTATCTCTTCTTATCCTATATTTACATCCATAAATCGGCAAATTCTTTTTGAAGAGACTGGTGCGCGTATTCACCATTCATGAACATAATAATATAATCCTGTGAGTGTCCGTGCCCTATCTACCGTTACGGCGATTTTTACTCTAATCCTGGCATTAGAAAGTAAATACAAAATCGCCCAGTACGATAAGACCTTTGTAAACATGGCTTGAACATATTTAACCCAAATAAAATGAAAATGAAAAAACTACACATCAGCTGTGGCCATGGGGTCACTGTTTTACATTGTAAAACATAAATACTTTAGCTCGCGACCAAGTCACACTCAATTGGCCATATTATTATTGTTATTAGCAATGGTGCCTTGTCCAGTTTGTGCGACTTTAGTCCTTAAAACTTCCCCATGTCGACGCTTTTTCAGCAAAATGGGTGACATTTTGAAATGCCTGAACTGCTATGAATTAGGCTGGAATTTAACGTAACAAATTCCAACTCATTGCTTGGTATTTTTGGAGTTTTAGAAAAATTTATGAATGAAATATCAATTTGACCCCTTTTTCAGTCAATTAGAGCTGAGATGTGCAACATTTTTTGCAAGTGAGCCATTTTTAACTGTAACTGGATATTTACTTCACTCTCATTTACTTCACTCTCTCCCTATACAATTTTCTCTCACTTCGAGTGTTGGCGGGGGGGGGGGGGGGGGGGGGGGGGGGGGGGGGGGGCTGGAGGCTTGTACAAAAGATCCGCCTCTTTAACCTTGCTACAGCATCCTTGAATTATTTGCGAGGGCAATCTGTAAGTGTGTCCCGCAAAACCCAATCGATAGCTCATTGATGTGCTGGCAATTGCTTTGTGAGACCCTTACATAATGTTTGCATGGGGATTAGGAAATACTTGAGAGTTTTACCGCGAATCAACAGTAAGGTGGATTTTAAAAACGTATGCATGAAAATGCTGCAAAAAAATCAACAAATTGAATAAATATTTCGAGTTATTTTGATGAAAATTTAAACCTCGTTGGGTATGGTTCCTAATAGATCACACTACTATACACTTTTATGTAGTCGCAAATACGGTGAAGTTTTCGATTTACGTTAAAATTCAATTAATCTACGATTTTTTTAAGTAACAGTCAACACGTCAGGTCATAACGTGTGAAAATCAAACACATATTCAACTGGTACTTCACTGATTACAAATAGGGGTTACAGAGGATAAAAGTTGTCTTTATTAGTGCAATACAAAGAGAATATAGCGCTGAATTGCTTGTACAAGCATTCATGAGGAGCAAAAATCAAGCATAACTGCCGTATAAAATGGGAAGGCAACGAATCATTTGATAAAATGTCTCCGAGTCCCCCCCATTCCTCAATTCTTTAATGTAAAACAAAAAAGTTTCTTCTTCGTGCGGAGCAATTTTAGCTTAAAAATTCGTAGCTTAAATACATATTTTAGCCTCTCAAGACTGTTGAAAACACACGTTTTCCGATAGCTGTTACAGTCTAAGTCGGCGATTAGAAATTTCCGAACCCCCTTAGCTTTGAAATTTCATGGCTGCGCCCCCTGATTACTAAGTTGAGTCTCCATGGCTTCAAGTTAATGACAAGTTAGGGTGATTTTATTTAGATGAATTGTGTGTGATATATGGAGAATCGATTCCAACTCAAGCCGATTCAATGTCTTGAGCACACAAAAAAAATTTAATTTACATTCAGGAAAAACCACCATTTAATATTCCTGTGAAGTATTTTTACGTCATAAACGTATGGTTTGTTCGGTTTCCATTATTTATTGTTATGTGACAATGCCATACGCCGCACCCTTGACGATGTGTTTATTTTCATAGGCTTATGAAAATTATGCCAAATTTAAATGACATATTACTAAAAATGGTTGAAAACTAACAATAAAATTGAATATACAAAAAAATAATAAGTTTTTTGTCCTCAATTCGAACTTATGTAACTTGAGTCAAATTTTTCATTTCAAAATACCAAATTGTAACTAATTTGAGCGATTTTCTCCATTTAAAATATTTCTATATTTGCACCCCCTGAAATGGTTTCGCCCAAGCCGCGGTGTTCGCCGTTTGCTTTTCCCACGGTCCGGGAGACTCTCACTCCGCGTGTACTCGTCTTAGTTTAGTTTCTTTACATTATCTCACTCCCAAAGTCGGTTTGTTATCGCTGTCATCATAGGCAACAAAAAGCCGCAGCAATTTTTACATAAAACTAAACACGTT